GCAACTTAGTGTAAAATTTTACGAGTCTAGAGGATTCGTACAAAGCCTAATAAAGTTAAAGCATGACTGCCAAATTATAAAAAAAAAAAAAAAAAAAATAAAAAAAAAAAATATGTATATGAAAAAATAAGAAATGATAAAAGGCAAAAATAAAGTAATTCACAAGAAGTGCAATTAGTAAATTGGCAAAAATGTTTAGTTATTAATAATTTAATAGAGTCAAAAAAATTTTTTTATTTAAAATCTTATTTAAAATTTTATTAATTTAAACCTGCGAAAGTTATATCTTTATAATAGCAAAAATACAATTTTTTATATATTTTAAACTCAAGATCATGGGTTGACTTTGTATAATTGGCTGTTTAAATCAATTTAATTTATTATTATTTATACAGTTTAAAGTACTTTTTAAAAAACATAAAACTATGAAGTGGAATTCTACAAATCTAATAAAATTTTTTATATACTTTTTTTTGTTTATTATTGATAGTTTTATTTTTTTTTAAAAAGTACTAAAGTATAAACTGTATAAATAATATAAAATTAAATTAATTTAAACAGCCAATTATACGATAGTTTACCTATGGGCTTATGAGGCTTATGAAGAGTTTTAATTTCTTCTTCGCCCAAGCCTTTGTATTCAATCATTTTTGAAATAAAGATCTTTGGATGAAATAATATCTACTTCAAAATTTTTATTACTTATTTATAATATATTATCTTTTTTTTTTTTTGAATTATGTTTCTTTATTACCTATTTTCTTTAGCACACTATAACTCTTATTTGATTACGCATTTGTTTATATTAGTTGTTTATAGTTACTTTATGAGTCATATTATAGTTAAGTTTTTCTTAGCCTCAATATTTGTGGCATTCTGAATTTTATTTATTTTGATTTACAGAATTTACAACTCAGGGCTAAATTTTAGAAAGATTACTTTTAGCTTGTAACAAGTATTGCACTATACACTACATATCTAGAATACTGTTAATTTTTGTCATATAATTAATCAGTTGTGCCAAATATTTGCATTTTATCAACGTGGCATAAAATAAAGTAATTATCTATAATATGTAAATATATAATATCTTTTGCAAATCTTTAAAAATTACTATTATTTTTTTTACATTTATGACCTTTAAAATTAAAGTTAAAAAATTCCTTCACATGTTGCCCTTATTGTCATCATAACTTCTAAAGAAAGCACTATTTCTCTAACACAGAGTATGGCCAAATATCAACCTGCTAAAAATAATTTTCAGATTGTCTACTGGAAATATTTTTATCCTTTTCAAAAATCGCATCCTGACTTTTCAGTAGACAATATAGTTTTATTTTCTGGAAAGTTTATAATTGAAAATTCAGAACAATATATTAATATTACTCATGTTACTGTTATTGCTGCTGGAGATCTTAATTGAGAATTTGAACCTGAGAAAATTCCACTTAGTATCCCACATTGCATGTTTTCTATAACAGTAAAGCATAAAACAAGAAATATGAGAGATACGACTCATTTTGGAGCAGATTGTTACCAATATAACTCAATTACTGGTAGTCGTAATGTTCTTATGAAAATGACTATAATTTTTCCTACTAATGCACCTAGATTTAACTATTTCCGTACAGGTATTAATGTAAATCGTATATTACTTGTATCTGGTTTTCTTCAATGTATTAAAAATGATATTATTTATATAGAGGCTACAGATATTGACTTTATAAATACTCTTGGCACTGATCATAGTAAACAAGGAGGTTTTTCATCAAATTCAAATATCAGTTCAGATATAGACCTTATTGCAGAAGAAATCGAATCCACCACTTCTAGAGCGTCAAAAAGATTTCGTAATTTAACATCTAAATCTTCAAAACAAGATGATGACCTTACTTTTGCTATGAAAGAAGAACCAGTATCTGATACTGAACCTACTCAAAATAAGAGAGGAAAAGAAACATTTAAACCGAACATTAAAGGTAACATGGAAAAAGAAAAAAATTTTGAAGAAAAAGAATCTAGCAACTTTGAAATTTTAGAAGAATTAGATAATCAAAACCTTGAACAAAAAAGAAAAGCAAATACGAAAGAAAAACCACCATATGAAACTAAACATACTAAAATTAAAAAGGGAAAAGAAACTTTTACAGAAAAGGAGAGCAGTGATGAAGATGAAGAAAAGGAACTTAGTGACGAAGATGAAATTTTAGAAGAATTAGATAATTGAAAACTTAGTGGACAAAAAAGAAAAAGAAATACGAAAGAAGAACCAGCATCCAGTACTAAATGAACTCAAAATAAAAAAGAAAAGGAAATATTTAAACAAAACATCGAAGATAACATGGAAAAAGAGAGTAATCTTGAAGACGAAGACGAAAAATTAGAAGAATTAAATAATCAAAAACTTAGAGGAAAAAAGAAAAAGAAATACGAGAAGAAAATAATAGTTAAATGCGATTAAATTAATAAGAGTACAAAATTAAAATATGGAGCCTAATTTACTTTTAAATAGTGATGTATTAATTTTATTGTATTCGTCATCTTCGACATTAAAAGTTTAATAGGTTTATAAAATAGGGTGTCTAAATACCCACACTTATTTGAGTTCTCAAATTTTGAAATATAGATTTTTAATAACCTTATTTATTTCTGAGATACGCTTGTTTTTAATTTAGAACCACCTAATTTTATAAATTTCTCAATGTACTATAAATAAATATAGATGGTTTCTATTTCTTAGCAACGAGATACAACCACCTTTTTTTCTCCAAAAATTTACGATTGATAAAGATCGCTCAAGCACTACTTTTACATTTTAACATATTAAACATAATAAACAATATATTCACAACAAAATCACAACAAATTTCTAACCGGTCTACACTTTATTTTTAATGTTAAAACAAATAATCGACACCTTGATATGAACGTAATTAATACAAACCATCTTTTAACATTTAACCAAACCGTAATGAATACTGCTATTCCAGTATCAAAAAACATGTAGTATCAAAAATAACAAAACATATGTAGTATCAATAACAGTATGAGAAAAAAGTCCAGACAGTTTCATAGCTACGAAATTTTTCGCTCATATAAACTTAATAAATTTTTTTTACTTCTTGTTGCCACAAAGCAACTTTCGCTAATGATTCCATAAGTTGTTGCTGTTGCAAAAAAAGGTTAATATTGGTAAAGGCCGTTCTCAAGCATCTAAATCAATTGATTAAAGAATGATCGTGATGACGCTCAAGCATCACAATCAATGGCGA